CACAGTGGGGTTGGATCCAGGGTTGGGCTCTATGATCTCAGAGCTCTTTTCCAACCCCGCTGATTCTGGGATTCTGTGATTCCATGAAGGAACGCTCAGCAACCCTGAGGGACCTCATCTGCTTCATCACAAAACCACAGGATGGTCTGGGCTGGAAAGGACCTTCCAAGGTCATCCAATCCATGGGCAGGGACATCTCCCACTATCCCAGGGTGCTCCATCCAACCTGGCCTTGGACACTCCCAGGGATGGGGCAGCCACAGCTCCTCTGGGAAACCTTTTCCAGGTGTTTCGCCGCCCCCTCTGTGCAAACACAAATTTGTGTTATCCATCACCTGAAGGTTGTGCTTTACAATGCAGATTTTTATTAAAAAGCATCAAACCCTCAAAAAAAAAAAATAATGCTGGTGGTGGTTAAAAAGGAGTGGGAATGACCAGGCAGGGAAAAAAAATCCTTTACAATCTCTTTTTTGTTTTCCATGTGTTTGCTTTGCTGTCCCTCCTGCTGAGAGGGCTCCTCCTCTTCACTCCCCAGCCCTGGAAGTGCCCAAGGCCGGGTTGGAGCAACCCGGGATAGCGGGAAGTGTCCCTGCCCCTGGAACTGGATGAGTTTTAAGGTCCCTTCCAACCCAAACCACGCTGGGATTTGGCGATTCCCTAAATTCGTGGCAGAAATGGAGGTGGTCACTCCAACATCAACCGCAGGAGGGGCCGGCTCCGGTGTGGCAAGGGATGAATCCGTACAGTGAATACAAATTAACTAATTAATCCCGGCTCCCCTCCTGCTTCCAGGTGGTTCATACAAGTCCATCCCGGCTCCCTCTCGCTCCCGAGTTTTCCTGGCTCTGCAGGGCAGGGTTCTGAGCAGAGCAGGTGAGGAGAAGTGGGGCCACCTCCCTCCAGCTCTCCGGCGGCTCCCGGACTCCGGTGATCCCAGCGAGGCTCGGCACCACCTGCTCCTCCAGCGGCACATGGACAAATCCAGCCCGCCTTCCCTGCTCCTGTTCCTGCTCCAGCCCGGCTCGCTCGGCCGTGGAACATCCCTGGCCCGCGGCCACGTTAATTTTCTCCTTGACAGCACACGAGGTGCAGCCCGGGCAGGGGCGGGGGTTGGGATCGTCTCCCGCATGGAAATGAGCTCCTGGCAGCGCCCAGATCCAGGGATCTGCCTGCGGGGAGGCGCCGAAACCCCGGCCCTGCTCCCGGACGCCTCGCCAAGCCTCGGGAGCGAAGCAGCTCCCGGTATTCCCGAGGGGAAGGGAAGGGAAGGGTGTCAATGTGCTTGCGGTTCGAGCGCCCGCGAGGGGGGAATTCAATCTCATCCCTCCTCCCCCCCCCTGCTTCCCGAACAAGCACCTTCTGCAGGGAGATAAGGGGACAATCCTGCCGGAACAAGCCAAAATCCTGCTTTCCCGGCGCCAGCACGGGCAGATAACGCGGACAGACGTCACAGCAGCTCCCGCAGCCCCCAAAGCTCCGAGGTTTTTTTTATTTGCGGAGCCGCCTTTTAGCGGCGGAAAAGGAACGCGCGGCCCCGTGCCGGTCCCTGTGCCCTTGGAGCGGCCCCAGCATCCCAGGCTTTGGGGCAGGGAATGAAGGGGCAGCAGGTGAGGCCAGGGCACTCAGCGGGATAAAATCATAGGAGCACAGGATGGTTTGGGTCGGAGGGGACCTTAAAGATCATCTCGTTCCAACCCTTTGTGGAGAAACAGGGCAGTGCCCGGTGCTGTCCCTCTCCTTCTGGCGGCTCATTTAGGCTGGGATGGGGCCGCTGGATAGTTGGATACCTGCAATTCCTCTGCTGGGAATGAAGGGAACACTCGGCGGCGGCCCCATGGAATCACAAGATGGGATTTGGGTTGGAAGGAACCTCAAAGGTCATTTAATTCCAACCCCTGCCATGGGCAGGGACACTTTCCACTGTCCCAGGTTGCTCCGAGCTCCGTCCAGCCTGGCCTTGGACACTTCCAGAGATGCAGGGGTAGCCACAGCTTCTCTGGGAATTCCAGCTAAAGATCCTCACCACCCTCACGGCCAAGAATTCCTTCCCAAAATCCCATCTATGCCTGGCCTCTGGCAGTGGGAAGCCATTCCCTGTGTCCTGTCCCTGCATCCCTTGTCCCCAGTCCCTCTCCAGCTCTCCTGGAGCCCCTTCAGGCTCTGGAAGGAGCTCCAAGCTCTCCCTGGAGCTTTCCCTTCTCCAGGTGAACCCTCCCACCTCTCCCAGCCTGGCTCCAGAGCAGAGGGGCTCCAGCCCTGGGAGCAGCTCCGTGGCCTCCTCTGGACTCATTCCAAGAGCTCCATGTCCTTCCTGTGTTGGGAATCCCACCCGGAGGCAGCTCTGCATAGGAGGGTCTCACCTGAGAGGGCAGAGGGGCAGAATTCCCCCCTTCCCTGCTGTGGGATCAGCCCAGGAGGAGGCTGGGACAAGGAACTTTTTTTACCTTATGGATGTAAAATAAGTAACCCCCATTATCCCACTTGGAATTGCAACCACCCCCCTGTGCCGTGTCCGTGTGGAGGCGGCTCCCTGTGCTCCCTGTGCCAGAGCTGGGAAGCTCAGAGGGAAGCGGTTTTCGCCCCCTGGAGACACGGGAAGGACACTCAGACAACACAGGCAGGGTTTGGAACGGGGGACACCGGAAAATCCACGCGCAAAGCCGGCGGCTCTTCCCGAGACGGGAGGAGACACGTTCCTGTTCCACAGGGATGTTCCACACGCACAAAGCAAGGTATTCCCGTGCCAGGACAGGATGGTTTGGCACAACTCCAACACTTCTCACAAAGAGAGGAGATGCAGACTTAAGGACTCGGAAGGAGCCGGCAAAGCGGAACAGCTCCGGGCGCACTCGGATCCGGGCGGAAAGCCGGGATCACACATGGATGTCTCCCACTGGAGCCGCTCGGGTGTCGGCCTGTTGAGCTCCAGGTCCTCAAGGTGGAGGCACAGAGGCCACCAAGCCCGGTCAGGAATGACAAAACCTTCCAAAAAGAGGGGGATCAGACGTGGAATTTCGCTGCCCAGGCGCTTCCAGGAATTGTAAAGCTCTGACTGGAATCTCCTTGGATCGTTACAGCCAAGACATCCCCCAAAACCAGGGGATGACACTGGGACAATTCAGAGGCAAGACAAAGCTTTGAGGGAACACAAAGGACAACCAGGATTTGTTGGAGCACATCCAGCCAGGAGCTCCTGCCCCTTTGGAGGGGGGGAGGACCCCAGGATTTCCAGCATCCCGGAATCTGCCGCTACATTTCACGCGCTGGGGCTGCTTGAAAGGCACAGTTTGAGGTCCTTGCTGGGGGATTAGGGTCAGATGGGGCTAATTATGGGATGTCAAGCATCAAATTCCGAGTAAGGGCAGGAGGAGCCATCAAGGAGAGGACAGGGGAAGGTTTTAGCAGAGGATTGTCCTTCATCCACCTTCACCCACACCCTCCCCAGCTCCAGGTGAAACGGGGGAGGCAGCGGAGCCGACCCCGGAAAGCTCATGGAAAGGGATGTGAGGGAAGTTTATCAGTCGTTGCAGACAGACTGGCAAGGCAGGAAAAGCCCTGAAGGATTTTCACACACAAAGGAACCTTCTCCAAGTCTGGAAGCCCTTGGGAAGCCCTTGGAAAACAAACGGCTGGAGGGCGAGAAGATGTTCGTGTGGTCGCCCGGGGTTTGCTCCCTGCCCAGGACGTCCAGCAGGGTGGTTTCCAGCCTCAAAATCCCATCCCAAATATCAACAGATCCCGTAGATGGGATGAGTGGAGTGGAAGGGAAAGCTCCGTTTGGGATTGGAGCAGCACCATCCCACCTAAAGCTCCGAGCATGGGGTTCAGGCGTCGGCTGTCGCCAAAAAGGAAGAGGGGATCCTAAATTCCACAAGCTTAACAGCACCAAAATCCCAGATTCCTTCTTTTTCAGCGCCTCAGGATTTGGGGACGACAGGTTTAAAACGGTGTCATTTAGCTGTGGGGGAGGGGAAGCTTTTTGAAAAGGAAAGAAAGGGGGAAAAAAAACCCCCACAACAACCCACAAACCCAAAGCAAGAACCCACCCCGGGAGAGCAGAAAAACCAACACGAGGCGGAGAAAAACACACAAGGCAATTAGAAAAGCTGGAAAATGGAAAAACAGACAG